CCACAGGGCCGAGGGGCCGCCCCGTATAGAAACCCAATAGCGAGCCTCACGTTACCGTTATATAGACCCCGATAGGAAACTCGGCTGCTTCGGAGTGTCTCCGCGTGCTGTTTGATTTGAAAACAATTATGCATATGTGTGATTTTTCTTCGTTCTAGTTGTTATCGTACGACGGTACTTATTGTTTACGCAGCGACACGATATGGGCAAGTGCACCGCATTGTGTACCTAGTGCAGCGCGCATACTGCTTTGACAGGAGTGTACCAAACTACTCCTGGGTCCTATCTCTCGGCTGTCGGTACGAAACTACAAACTTCCCTTTCCACTGCTGGTAGATGTAGAGGCGGGAAGGGGCGGCGTCCGAAAAGCACCGGCGCGACGGCGTCCTGTGCGCCACGGAGGAAACCGGAGGGAGAGAGAGAGAAAGAGATGTGGTGGAAGAGCGAGTGAGAGAGCGGCGGCGACAGGAATGCGACGGCCGCGCCGAGCTCGAAATTCACTTTGTCTCGTTAAATCGGAGTGGCACCCCGGGAGAAGGGCCACCCACACTGGAGGAGGAAAGCAGCGGCAAGAAGGAAAGGGACCCGCCACGGACCTTTCGCGCGTCGTTGTTTATTTTAGCAAAACTTTTGCCATTCTTCTTAATAAATTAAGAAAAAAAATATAGTTCAGCTAATAAAACGCCTGGCGCGCGTGGTGTGGGTAATAGCGCACCACCTGAGTCCCTTCTTATCAAGAGCGGATATTGCCGCGATTATACGCATGACATTAAGCCGTATCTCTCTCCGTTTCACTCGCTGCCCGAGCCCCTATATCAGGAAGAGCGAGTGAGAAGGAGATAGTGTCAATCATCAGTCAACGCTCCGTGCGCCGCCCCGGACTGGAGAGGGCGCCGCCGCGCACGTAACAACTGTCATCTTGAGTGAGAGAGAGACAGAGATAGGATAATAAAAATGAAAAGCGGAAAAACGGCCGGGGAGAGACGAGGAAAAGAAACTAAAAATAATAAATGAAAGGGCGACGATAAGGTCGCCATTCCATCTCCCCGTCGGACACACTTGCCCTGTTAATTGGGCCGCCCTGGTCGGGTGCAGCAGCAGGTTGACGACCTTGGAGGGGAGGTGGGGGGGG